GTAAATCAATTTCTGGGTCTATAAATCTTGAAATTACTTATAAGAATGTCAAAGGAAAGCATGTTGATGATGGTGAAGAATCCCTGCATTTGAAGGTTTGCTTTATTTGTCATTTGTATATGTTTTTTAACCTTTTTAATAAAAATACATATTTTTTTTATAAAAAAAAAAGTTCAATTTTTTTTCATGTATATATATTAGGACGTATAATACATGTTTTTTATAGTTGGCTTGTGAAGGTATGTCAGACCAATTTATATCAATTTTTGTTTTGCTTGTTTGTTTATTTTTTTAATTTTTTGGATTGTTATTAATTTTCATGTTGATATTATGTAATTTTAAGAAAAAACATAGTTTAAGAAACGGGGAAAAAATATGCGGTCTCACACACGTGAAGTGCACCATATCAGTGAAAGCTCAGATGAATCCAAGTGGGGTTTCATCCCAAAACCAATTGGTAAAAGGAGGAGTAGCCCACTAGACTTATAAATTATGCATATTTTACCTATATAAACGATGTGGGACAACTCACAAGTGAATATTCTAATACACGCCCCCTGTGTACGTCATCGCACGGTCCCATATAGAACCGACTCTCACATCATTCATAAGAACTCCAAACCCATCTCCAAGCCGGGAAAACTGGGTACGTCATCGCACGGTCCCATATAGAACCGACTCTGATATCATTCATAAGAACTCCAAGCACGCCCCCTGTGTACGTCATCGCACGGTTCCATATAGAACCGACTATGATATCATTCATAAGAACTCCAAACCCATCTCCAAGCCGGGAAAACTGGGTACGTCATCGCACGGTCCCATATAGAACCGACTCTGATATCATTCATAAGAACTCTAAGCCCATTGCACGTTCTGATACCATTGTAAGAAACGGAGGGGTCATCGCACGTTCTGATACCATTGTAAGAAACGGAGGGTAAAACGGGTGCAGTCCCACGCAGATGAAATGCACCAACAGTAAAGTTCTATTCTAAAACCAATTGGTGGAATGAGGAATAGTCCACTAGACTTATAAATTAAGTTTATTTTCCTATATAACCGATGTGAGACAACTCACAAGTGAATATTCTAATAAATAGCATGTGTTTTTCCGTGAGTGGTAAAGTTTTTTTTAATAAGATGTGTACATAAACAGTAGAAAACTTTTTTTTGTTTTTTAGTGTGTATTATATTGGTATAGGAAACTTGGTACCATTAATTGGTTTATGAAAACTTCATATTGTTCTTATCAGTTTACAATAGTTGTTAACAAAAAAAATGTATACAAATGATAACGACTCAGAGGTTCGGCGCAGGACGGCTGGTGAAGAGGCGGCTGATGCAGACCTTGGTATTGAAAGTCTGGAAATGGTGGTTTTGAAGGTTGAAGACGATATGGAAATGAAGATGTTGGGTGATTTAAAAATGGAGAAGAAAGAGACAAGCATTAGGGTTTTGTCAGTTGTGATGGAGACACGTGGGAGGCTTGAAGACCGTGGATCGTCTATTGGTTGAAAAAGGATTGAGCCGTACACGTGAAGCAACTGGAGTTATAAATAGGATGTTTTACTTTTATATTATTGAACATTTCTGATTTTTGTATTTGTTTGGAATCTTTTTGTTATGATTCACTTAGAGCACCCACAATGCTTTGGGTCTCTTTTTGTATATGTGGCATATAATTGGATTTGAGTCTTAAATGATGTGGACAAACCCAAGTAAAAAACTTCAATAGCTTTGCAATGCAAAAATAAAAATACTTGGTCTAGCATATATGTCAACCAATAAAAATGATCTAATATGTTTTTTTTATTAAAAGAAAAATTAAAGTAGAAATAAATGATTAGTGTTTGGGTTTGTACTTGGGTCCAAAATAGACCCAATTGTGGACTTAGTCTCTTTTTTTTTATTGCCACATAAGCTAGACCATGTCCACTTTTAATTGCATTGGGAAACATTTTTTTATAGAGTAGGTCTATTTCTTACATGGCATGTGATTTTTTGTCAAGAGACCCAAAGCATTTTGGATGCTCTTATGGGTAAAATTAGGTGGGCCCGAGGCCAATTTTGCTGTTAAGGGAAAACACCTAGGAGAAGGCTGTTATGAATTTACTGAATTATTCCCTTCTATCTCTCTATCTAATTCCTCCCTCAATCCTCAAATCCTAATTCATCTTCTCGAAAAATCTCTCAAAAAATATAGAAAATTTACAAAAAAATATCAGTTCACAACAGCGGCAAGGTATGATTGGTGGTCTCGGACTGATTGGTTGGGAGCGACAGTTTAAGTTTGATTTCGTTAAAGTTTCACTGACATTGTTTTGAATGTAACATGGTAGAAGTTTATCTGAAACAAATTAGTTTTTACTTATACTATTTTAGAGTTAAACTTTTATGTATTTTAATTTAATGTTTTGTAGGCTGGTGTTTTGGTGGTTGCCTGAGAAGATCAAGTGGAAATTCACACTTCGAGTTTATTGCTTTGAAGACTTCAGAGTTCATAAAGTAATGAAATTGTATTGGTTAATATTTTGGTGACAAAGGAAACAATTATATTTCACGTAATTTTATAAATGTGGTTTCTATATTCTTAAATGTAGTGTGATGTTAGTTTTTTTATAATATATTTTTTAATATTAAGGTAGTTATGTAAATTCTCTTGTCATGTTGGTCCTGTAAAAGAGTCTCATTTATTATATATATATATCCTTTTTATTCGAGGTGTAAACTAATTAATATAGAAGTTGGATCACAAGTATTTATTTAATTACACAGATGCAACAAATGAGCAAACTTTCTTTGAATTTGATTTATAAACAAACAATTTGTCCTTCCAATTTTACCTTTTCTATTTTTATTTTGACTTTTCTTTCATTTTTTTAAGTTCTGTATGCATTTAGCATCATTGTCTTTCCTTATTTTTTTACTTTTATTTTTTATTGAATATGCATTTAATTTTTATTTTCTAAAACTTAAAGCTTTATTATTTTTTTATTAATTTCTATATACAATTTATCAATTTCAGTAATTTTTTATAATCACTGATTTGCCATCAATACTGCATATGTAAAATAATAAAAAATATTCTACCTATATAATATGAAATTAAGTTTATCAATCTATATTGATTTATTTTTATTTTTTGTTTTGTACCAGTCAATCGATATTGATTTAAATATAACGAATGAGTATAAAATTATATAGTAAAATAAAGTAAAAACATATACTGAATAAAAATTATTCATCAATAATATTTTTTGGCATATTGCCCATTTAAAATATTTATTCTACAAAATATAAAAGTAGTTGTGAACAGTTATTTCAATTACCAAGTATATATGACAGAAGGATAAATCCCCACATAAATCAGTAGATCGATAAGAAAAAATCATAATATTCTCATAAATTAATTGATAATTTATCAAATACAAAAATAAAAGACTACTGAACTTTGTAGCTAGAAAATATTATATTCCACATCTTTTTTTAATTAATAATTTTATTTGAAAAAATTAATTCTATATTGGAATATATACCAATTTTACAACTTCAAAACTAGTTATTTTGTATTTGTATTCAAAATAAAATTATGGTAATAAAATATCAATAAGAAGAGGCTTATGGAGAGAAACTAGTTGAGAATATTATTAATTAATTAGATACATATGTGTTAAATTTCATGTTCATTAATAATGATCATAAACTGTAATATTTACTTTATGGATTATATATGTGTAGACATTTAAATTTTGAGCCAATTAAATGGTGACAAGTGTCAAAATATATATTACATCGCTTTAATAATTTTCTATTCTATTTAGGAAATTAATCAAATTTTAGTTCTTAAATTAAATAGTTTATTAATTGGTTTTTTTAATATATATTGTTGGCCAATTAAAGAATGTCACATGTATATTTTGAAGGCCAATTAAAAAATGCCACATGTCATTTTATCGGAGAATAAAGTAAATAATTATTTTTTTAATAATTATTAAATAGATAAACATTGGAAATTCATTACCAATCTAATTGAAGTCTTCTTTTACAAGACTCTCTCTCATAATTATCTATTAAATATTTATTAAGAGATAAATATTAGAAATAATGGACCAATCAAATTGAAGTTTTTTTTTCAAAATTTTCTCTCCCAACACCTATAAACAGGGGCTCTCCTAAGTTAAAAAACACAATTCATATTAAAGATCACAAGTTATATTATATTCAAGTTCAAGAGCGCTAGAGAATTCTCTCGACGATTCAAATGTTGTTGAAGATTCAAGCAGGGAGATTCAAGCGCGTTCACACTCAAGACCAATGTTCAATCTAGAAACAAGTTGTGAAGCCTCCGAATTATGTTATTAAAGTCAAGACATGTGTAGAGAAGATTAGAGATCAACTTTGCGACGAAAACTAAGGACTCGCGTTCTTCACGTTCTTGGAAAATCATGACGTTCGATTTGAGATCAAGTTGTCAAACCCTCGAAGAAACGTTAATTAAATTCAAATTCAAGACTATCGGAGATCAAACTGAAGATTCGCCTCCAAAAGTCTGAAATTCATTTGAAGATCGTTCTTAACTCGTGTTCTTCACGTTCTTGGAAAATCCTGACGTTCAATTTGAGATCAAGTTGTCATGCCCTCGAAGAAACGTTATTTCAAATTCAAGACTGGCGGAGATCAAACTAAAGATTCATCTCCAAAAGTCTCAAATTTAGTTGAAGATTCTTGAGGGAATTAATCAGAATAATAATAAAGAATTATAATACACTATATTTTATTTGATCTATTTGAAATTAATTTGTACAAAATTTCGTATTTATTAATTCAATAATACAAAATTTTTCGTTACAACATGATTAATGCATTAAACTATTATTATTTTTAAAAAAGTCATATTATTAAATATTCATTCAATTATTTAACTTATACGGTTTAGCACTGGAAAAACGTGAATATTTTTTTTTTTCAAGTATCCAATTCCATTTCAACCAAAGGAGGCTGAGCCTGGAGGGGAAAATATTAGAAATTTAGTGCACACAAATAAAATAAAGAGGAAAGGAAAAAGAAGGTCCACTTTCTGCTTTGTTCCTAAACGAAAATCAAACTGTATGTTTTTTTTCCCCCTTTTTCTTTCCATTTCATTCAACAATGGCGGTCTTTGTGTGACCAAACCACCCCCATTTCACAAATTACAATCACTTTCCCACTGATAAATTCAGGCACATATCCCTATCCCAATATCTGAGATCTGTGACATAATTTGACATCTCTCGCATTGCAGATAAACTAGGCGACGTAAAAATGGCGTCGGAAAGAAGCGAGAAATGGGTTCTGACGCTCACGGCGCAGACTCCGACGAACATAGCGGTGATAAAGTACTGGGGGAAGAGGGAGGAGGATCTCATCCTTCCGATCAATGACAGCATTAGCGTCACTCTCGACCCCGATCACCTCTGCACCACCACCTCCGTTGCCGTCAGCCCCGCTTTCACCCATGATCGAATGTGGCTCAACGGCAAGGTATCATTAATTCAATCATGGCTATTTCATGCTTAGTTGATTTGGGTATTCTTACTTCTGTTGATGATGGCAGGAGTTAGATGTTAATATTGGGCATTATCAGCTAATTCTTTTGGTGATTTGTTAAAATTTTTTAAGTTTGGGAACTTTTGTCTTCAGGAGACTTTTTGTAGCTGAAGTTGAAGAATGTGATTTGAGTTGAATCGTGATTGCTAATGGAGCTAGATCTATTAATCTTTTCCATGAAAAGTTTTGTTTATGGCGGTGTCATTTTATAATATCTAATCTTCTTTGAACAATTTTAGTCGTTAAACTAAGTTTATGAGAATTGTTGAGTTTATATGTACAGTTGAACCATTTGTTGTTTATGGTTTATTCTCTTGGGACTGAGTGTCGTCTCTGCGTCAGTTATTAATTCAAATACATAACATTTTATTTCTTTCTGATCTTTATGATTCTCATGCTAATTCAAATACATAACACTTTATTTCTTTCTGATCTTTATGATTCTCAGGCATAAAGTTATTATGTAGAAGAGATACTAAATTACTTACTGATCAATTATTTGTTAATGTAGGAGGTATCTCTTTCCGGAGGCAGATTCCAGAATTGCTTGAGGGAACTTCGGTCGCGTGCTAGCGATGTTGAAGATGAGGAGAAGGGTGTTAAGATAGCAAAAAAGGACTGGGAGAAGTTGCATCTACATATTGTTTCTTTTAACAATTTCCCTACTGCTGCTGGTTTAGCTTCATCGGCTGCGGGTTTGGCATGCCTGGGTATTATTTTATTCTCTCAGATACTTCGCTATGAAAATTACCGAACAATGATGTCTCTCTTTCACACTGTTAGATTGATCTTCTAATGGTTTTGAGAACTAAAATATTACAGGGTTTGCAGTTCCGTAAATTAACTTATTAATTGAATTCCTTGAAATTCTTATTTTACAATTTCATATGATTCTGACTTTCTATTTGAATTTTGAAAATCTGCCTATATTACTGATTCTTTTTGTAACTATGTGGCTGAACTCGATGGGTCGGCTTTTTGGTTTTTACCTTGCTTCTTGTATGCTCATCTATAATTGAATTTTGATATAGGGTGACCCCTACGAATCTGAAATGGTGGAAGTTTTAGATGCTATCCTTTGCATCAAACCTGTTGGATAAATCATGTATCATGCAAATATCAAAATGGTCAAATTTTGTAAAGTGCATCATTCATTGTATCTGATCTTTTCTTTGTCTCCACTTACCTTATCTTATGTAACTTTATTCATGTCAATTGTTTTTCTATACGCCAATTTTTGGTCCACGTGATGGTTGCTTATGGAAACCCCTTACTGTTTTCTCCTTTATTATTGTCCTATTGAATGTTTTTCCTAATATGCATTGGTGCTTTCTTAAAGTTTAAATTTCTATAGCTAGCTTGTTTCATGAATATGCAGACTTTGGCATGCTGCTTTGACTAATTGACACTGTTGTATGTCCCGTTATTCATCATAATGACGATAATTGGTCAGTTCAACGTTCAACATAACTAACTTTAATGACAGTATTTACTCTGATTGTATTTTTAGTTTTCTCCCTGGCTAAGCTAATGAATGTGAAAGAAGATCACAGTCAACTGTCAGCTATTGCGAGGTAATTATATCTGTTTGAACATCATTGGTTCAAGTTCAGTGGCTAGAAATATGTTTTGTTTAAAATTGAACTGAGTGACTGATATACGATATCATCTTTATTTTTCTGTTATCCTTTTTAAGAGACCCTCTGATTTCTCTGCTCATAAATACACATGATTTAAGTGTAAAGAAATTGAATAGTTTAAGACTCAAATTTTGTCTAAGTTTTGTTTTATCCTCATTATATCTTGTCTAGGTCAGACATTTTAAGTAGAAGTTCAAGACATTATAGTAAAATATTATTGGTTTTTAACTGTGTTCTTACTTACCAGACAAGGTTCCGGAAGTGCTTGTCGCAGCCTGTATGGCGGATTTGTCAAGTGGATCATGGGGAAAGTAAGCTAATTTCTTATACCTTTTTTTATTGAAAAGTTTATTAATGATTATATTGCGGAATTTGTAATCAATTTTCCTGGGTAACTGAAGGAAGAAAATGGTAGCGACAGCATTGCTGTTCAACTTGCAGATGAGAAGCACTGGGATGATCTTGTTATTATCATTGCAGTGGTGTGTATCCTACCTTTTTTTCCTAACAATATGACACTTGGTCATCAACTTATCTTTGCTTTTTGCTTGTTAAGTAATGGTTTGATGTTAATTATGTTTCATGATAATCGACTACTTATCCTCATAGTGTTCTCGACCCCACAAGAATATTATTTTCTGTAAAGGGTGGAAGAAGTTTTTATTACTTAACACTTTTCTGTTCATTTAACTTGACATTTAGGTGGAATAATCAAACTCCTTTGTTTTATAATATTCATTTCTTTCTTTCTTTCCACCACAATCGAAGGATGCGCGATGACTGATTTCATTTTCATATAATATGCATTTAACATGTGCACTGAACTATTTAGATATAAAGTATGATCTCTTAAAGTCTTGACTTCTCACTACTTCAGCTTTCTTGCTGAATATTTTTCTTGCCATTTGTCATCTCATGAAGCATCTATAAGCCGTCAACCTTTTTTTCGTAGTGTTGGCGTCTACTAAACATAAACTATTTATTACTTTGTTTTTCTAGGGATGCTTAAACTTCTTCTGCTAACAGATTCTCTTAAATTCAGGTAAGTTCACGACAGAAGGAAACAAGTAGCACTTCTGGAATGCGTGATACTGTCGAAACCAGTGAGCTCATAAAACATAGAGCAAAGGTATATTTTGGTCTTATTTGTTACTCCCTAATAAGTATCTATATGATTGACATAGATGTTTCAATTGATTTATTCACGTTCATCTCAGAAGACGCTGTTTTTTTGTAGTGTTAAATGGTTCATGATCTATCTTGGAACGAGACTCAGAATCCTACATTTTTCATATCTGTATATATTTCACAGGAAGTTGTACCGAAAAGGATAATACAGATGGAGGAAGCAATTAAGAATCGTGATTTTCCAGCTTTTGCTCGTCTGACATGTGCAGACAGTAATCAGTTTCATGCAGTTTGTCTGGATACCTTACCCCCTATCTTCTACATGAATGACACATCTCACAGGCAAGCACTTTCCTCTGTTCACGTCACATTAACGTCATAGTATGGAATTTTGTATCTCGTTTAACATCCCTAAAATAATATATATATACATATAATATTTGTTATCAAGCAGCTTGTTATGAATTATTAGTTTGTTCTCATCAAGGGATTAATGTTCCAGGATAATCAGTGCTGTTGAGAAATGGAATCGCCATGAAGGAACACCGCAGGTTATTACTTTTTCTATCTGCGTTCTTGTTTAAAAATGCCGCCTGCATTCTAAATTCTGCAGTCCCTGTATTTGCATATTAATGAGTTCTACTAACGGAAGTAGTACACTTTTGGATCACTCTACTCTGACATAAAAAAGTTGGTATGCACTTTGACATAATGCATGCGTTGCACGAATTCATGATTTCACATATCACATCATCTTTAAAACCAACGATCACCATAACTCGTCATTCGGGTCAAAATTTATGTCGCACCTTTTATGTGAAAACGGCATTTCCCTAATCTTGTTTAAAATTTTTCCTAATCCGGATAACCACGGTATCCTCAATCATCGGACACACTTTTGATCGAATGGTCAATTTTTGCCAATTCTTTTTATCTCCCGTACTTTTTTCATATTTTTTATTTTTTTCCCTTTTTGGTTGTTTTGTGTCATGTGTGTTTAATATGTGGCACAGTTCAACTTTACTTTGATCTTTTTCTTTTTTCACAAGCATTCAGGAAACAAGTTTGTGACAATAAGCTGCACAGTATACTTTATTCAGTTGTATGAATTGAATGTCCAATTTCTAGTCCTCGACATTTCTGGCACTCAACACATGCCATTTATCTGCATATCCATTTCATAATCAAGATAACTAATGACAAGGCACTTGTTTAACAGGTGGCTTATACATTTGATGCTGGGCCAAATGCAGTACTTATTTCTAACAACAGAAAGACTGCTGCCCTTCTGCTTCAAAGGCTGCTCTTTTACTTCCCTCCTCAGTCAGACATTGATCTGAACAGGTTTATAGTTTATACACAAATCTGAAACAAGATTTCTTTTCCTTCATATCATAATGGGATTTTCTTGCCTTGAGACCTCTCAAAATCTATGCTTGTATACAATTTTTTTCAAAAAAACATCCAATAATTAACCAATCACTTTTTTTTAACTCAAATCTAACTCAACTTTAACGCAATCCCACTATCTTCAATATTATCAATATAATTAAATAATACCATTCAATTATTCTTACACATTACATCAACTTTAATCAACTTTAATTCATTGTTCATTCACTCACATAATTTTAACTAACCATCACTTCATATCATCTCTCTCCTACTTTTACATCAAATCAACTTTAATTATTTTATTTTAAATATTATTTTAATAAAACTCAAAATCCCACTAACAACTAACTATACCACTTTTTTTCAAAATTAATCATACAAAAAAAAATCCAAACAAAATCAAAACATTTTATATCCAAGCATATTCTTACTATTCCTCTCTCTCTCTCTCTCTCTCTCTCTCTCCCTCTCAGTTATGTTATTGGTGACAAAACGATACTAAAAGATGCCGGGATTAACGAGATGAAGGATGTGGATGCTTTGTCGCCACCTCCTGAAATCAAGGATAACAATCTATCAACCCACAGAAACCGAGGTGATGTTAGCTACTTTATCTGCACAAGGCCTGGGAGAGGTCCAACAGTGTTAACTGATCAAATTCGATCCCTTATTAACCCTGAAACGGGTCTTCCTAAATAATCGTAGAGGGCTGATTTTTGAGTTTTTGAATTACTCAAGCTATTTTTTCTCGATTTATGCTGTGAGCCTTTGCGTTGCTTTGTGTTTAGAGTGAAATCATTTCCTTGCAGAAGTTTTACTTTTCAGACCTGTGTTTGCTCCTTACCATGTTTGTGTGGGCATTTTGTTATTAAATGGATGACAAATAATTGCCAACTATTCAAGTCAGCCATTAGTTGAATGCATTATCACGCCATTGCTTTTGTGCACCTTCCTTTTCATTGACTGTACATTTCTGGATGTCTTATTATTATTCCACACAATGAGTACAATGATCTTTCGACATAAATGATATCAAATTCTTAATGCATTATCTATACTAATAGAAGAATAGCCAATCATGGTACATTTACCCATTTTCCAAAGCGTGATGGCGATGGTAGCAAGTTGGTGAATGGTGTTGTTCACTTGTGTGGCACACCTCGGAGCTAGGAGGTCATGATGACCCCTCAATGAGGCAGAAATCACTCTTTTTTAGAGAGACGTGATAATTAGGAGTCATATTTTTGACTCCCATGTATATAAATTAATTCATACTCTTGTTGGTGATCAAGTACAATTATTATGATTCATTGAGACAATGAGTCTCCTGACATTCTTTATCGTCTCATGACATTCTTTTTTGTGGAGAAATATTCGTTACTTGCGTATTCTTGGTGAAAAAATTGTTTAGATTATGGTTTACATTAATAAATTTGGAATGTTTATTTGGGTGAATAAATTGCAAAATAATCGGTGTTATTTATTTTTATCAAACGAGTGAGGTGGACTAATTAATATCTCGCAAGAATTTATAAATGTTGTGAGTTATCCTCACACGTCCCTGTGGCCTCTCACAAGCTGGAGTTGCATGGGTTAGTGATCTTATTGCTGGAGGGGTTCAGTTATGAGACTATAATGTTATAACATGTAACGTCAATGAGCCTTTGTGCAGAACCATCCAAAAAATCAATACCCTTCACTAGAACAAGCCTGATAGGTTGTTTGGGATTTGGAAAATCATGGCTCATTTTCAGTTTCTTCCTTTACCACCACTTGATCATCAATGAAGTGAGAAACGCTGATGCAACAGAAGGAAGCAGTGACCATACACGGTTAAATGTTGTAATAAAAGAGAACTGGAAACTAAAAATCAAGGGCAAGCTTAAGAACTTCCTCTAGAGATGCTTCTCTAATATTCTTCCCTCTAACCATAACTTGTTGAGCAACGGACTGAAGATAGATTGCACTTGAAAATGTTGTGGAGAAGAGCCAGAAACAGTGGATCATATTTTTTTCAAATGTCGGAGAGCAAAGTTGAATTGGAGACTATCAACTGTGAAGTGGGACACAATTCAAGAAGAATCCATCTCCTTGTTGTAGTGGTGGGGAACTATTTGTTGTGCTAAGGAGAGCCCTACATTGGAAGCCAGGACAATTAACCTCCTACATGCTATGGCTTTGGAAAACTCTAAATCTTTCTCTTTAAGAACCAGTGGACTCTTGAGTGGGTGGTAGATGCAGCCCTCAAAGATTGGCAGGAGTTCTACTTTTCTTCGTGTTGTATAGTTTAGCTTTGTTTTGGTAGCTGCTTTTGTGGTAGGGTAGTTTTTTTACTAGTGCCGTTCCTTCCTTTGTTAGAGAGCACTGTTGAATTTTTGCCTGTTGTGTATTGGTTGGAGTTTGTTCTGTCATCATTAGTTTATCTTGGTTATTCTGGGCCATTTTTTGTGGTTCCTCACCTTGTTGGTTTTCTCACGGAGTGTTGTTTCTTTTCTCTAGGATTGACTTGTAATGTACTCTGTTTTTAACATTATTTTCTCTATCATTTAAAATTTGTCCATTGCAAATGGAGCTGGAAGAGTCATTGTTGACAATTCTCCTGGCATAGTGCTAATAATGGACTAGATCAAAATGGCTCAATTAAATTCTAGTGTTTCTTCTATTAGTGAAGTTTCTAGAAAAAAAAAATATATCAAACGGCGCAATGTACCTTGGGTCACTAAGGAAACAGCCTCCTTGTATAATTACAAGGGTAAGGTCTGCGTACAACTGACCCCCCAGACCACAACCTGTTGGGAATATACTGGGTATGTTGTTGTTGTTGTTGTTTCTCATCATTTAAAAAAAAAAAAAGCAAACAAGAGAACATAATTTTCGTTAATTCTCCTTTTATACAATGGAACTAACGCAGATAAAACTATTTGAGTAAATAGTGTTATTTACACCCCGTTCTAAAGATTAAATAAGTTTTTCAANCTAGAATACCGGCTAGCAAACGCTAGAAAAAAAACTAACAAACAACACAAACAACTAACATAACTACAAGACTCCAACAGAGTAATACTCAAGTGTCGGACCCCAACAGGGCAATACCCGAGTGTCCGACCCCAACAGGGTAATAAAATGACACTCGGACGTACAGATTGACACTCGGGTGCACAGAGGCGAAGAGCCCAAACCAAAAACACATCACACAAACAAAACAGACAAACAGACACTAACAAAGCACAAACTACAAAACAACACATACAAAACAACATAACACAAAAAATAAAAGACACATAACAAAAATAAAGCCCTTCCAGCCAGCAGCCGAAACCAACCGAACACAACTAGACGCCGACCACTCACACGGACAAGACCCGGTCCAAGTCGCAAGCCAGAAACTGCAGAACCTCGTTCGCCTAACTAGACTCGAGATTGAAAAACCATGGCCCTCCCGAGTGGACAACCACAACACCCGAGCCCGGAGATCAATAAACAAGCTCCACCATCACAACCCCAAAGATCCGAGACCGGGACACAAGACCCAGCCCCAACTTAATTCCGCCAATGAAACCAACAAGCACAAAAGCAGAGAAAATCGGAGAAGGAAGGAAAGCGAAACGGCCCAATCTCAGCCCGACCACCCCTTGTTACCAAATTGATGATCGGAACCGCAGCCCATGGTCTAAAGCTTACCGGAAAAGCACCGCTGCTCATATCCGAGAAGCCGCCGGTCAGAACCCATCGTGGCGACCTATAAAGAGGCGAGATCCAAAATGGGCTGACCCGCCGACTCACCCGGGAAGAGGAAGCCGCCCATCCAACGAGCCTTCGAACGCCGGCCGCACGACCCAGAGAATTCACCACCCCGATGGCCCGGAGGCCCCTGCTGGAGGAAGGCAAACTGGTTCTGGTGTTTTTAGTTTTTTAGAGAGAGGTAGAGGTTGAGAGAGGTTTTTTGTGTGTAGTGTAAAGAACCTATTTGAACCAGATGGGAATATCGATAGTTATGCGACTAATATGCCACAATTATGTGTACCATTCGCATAACCTTCGCATTTTTTTTAGTTAAAAAAGTTAAAAGGGATGTAAAAAAAACTATCCCAAACTATTTTACGGTACTTCAAGTCCCTTTCCTTACCCTCCTATTAAAATCTCCAGTCTGATTTCCCTGGGCCAAACATAGTCTAAACGCTGTTTACATTTCGATCAATCTTTCACTGCTCCTAGATTAGATCTGTCTGCGATCCATGGCGAACGTGCCCCCTGTGGTTTTCCCCACCGGCAGGAATGCTGCCGCGCCATCCCCTGGCGGCTCCCAGCAGCGCCGCTTCCCCACCGCTCCCTTTCAACCCCCGAGAGCATCAAGCCCCGGCCTCCCTTTCCTCTCGTTCGACGTTAATTCCGCCGCCGCGTCCACTTCCTTCTCCGCCGCCCCCCAGTTCCCCTCCACCATCGGCGGCGGCGGCTCCACCGGGTTCGAGGACGAGCCGCCGCTCCTCGAAGAACTCGGCATCAACACCAAGCAAATCTACCAGAAAACCCTCTCGATCATCAATCCTTTCAGAATCAATTATCACCTCCACGAGGATGCCGATCTCTCTGGACCTTTTCTCTTCCTCATGGCTTTTGGATTGTTTCAGCTCCTCGCCGGGAAGCTTCATTTTGGAATTATCTTGGGATGGGTGACGATGGCGTCCATGTTTCTGTACGTCGTCTTCAATATGCTCGCGGGGAGGAACGGGAATCTGGACATGTACAAGTGTCTCAGCTTGATTGGTTACTGTATGCTGCCAATTGTGATGCTGTCTGCGATCTCTCTTTTCTTGCCGCAAGGTGGGATGGTGATCATGGTGATAACAGGGCTGTTTGTGATCTGGTCTACACGTGTCTGCACGGGACTGGTGGTGGAGCTGGCTAACTGCGGTGAGGAGCACAGGGGGCTAATCACGTATGCTTGCTTCTTGATTTACATGCTTTTTTCACTGCTTGTGATATTTTAGTTGAGAATGCAAGTGTACAAGACCGGAACGAAAGCTTCTGAGACTCAGCATTGGTGTTGGTTATTGGTATCCTGTCTTTTCTTATCTGCAAATTTTCAGCTGTGAGTAAAAATACTATTAAAAATTCTTAGTTGTTTTGGTTTAGAGGATTGATCACAGAATTGAAAGTTTAGTTAGTTTATAATAGCTAGCTGTTGATTGGGACTTGTCTGTGAATGGAATGGATTTTCATGAACCCTGGCTTAGTTTGCTTTCATTATTGTCTATGTTTTGTCTTTATATTGATTTCCGAAAGAACTAGGTGCTGTTTTTGTGCATGTTAAGTCTTTGGCTTTGAAAAATCTTGGAACCAGTGGTTAGTAAAACTTTAGCTTATTTGATGTGTACTCGTTTATTCAAATCAAATGCCAAAGCTCCGTGCAAATGTGATGGTGAGGTAGAACTAGCTTTAGAGATTTGAACCTACTCTTGCCTCGGTTCTGTTTATAAGTAAGCTATTAATTCAGAGGACTTAGCTTGTAGAGCCATGTTGTTTTCGTTTTGTTGGTGAACCTTATCTCTTGTTGTGTTAGCAGAGGTTGCCTTAATTAGGTACAGCTCTCATAGCTAGCACCAAACGAGCATCTTAACTGTTCAATGTCCATTCAAATTATATGCCAGTGATGCCACAAAGTTCGGTCAATAATCCCAACCTCTGCTTTTCGCTAATTCTTCAACATTTGTGTGTTGGGGATTCCAATAAGTTGATTTTGGTAAGATATTTCCTCAGTGAAAAGTGCTGATTGATTGTTAACATTATATTATCTTACTTGAGATCATACCACTCTCTTGTGAGACAATTGCAGTAAATGTATCCTATTGCTTTAGGTGTTATGGGTTTTCTGAAATGCATTAACTGTTTATCCTCTAGAGCAGTCTTGAATGTCAATATAGACTTGTATTTTTAAGTCTCGCCTTATAAGGCCTTTCTCTATTTCCTCGTACAATATCTGGTATATACTTGGGTGTGCAGGTTTTAGTTCCTAGTTGCTCAGGTTTTTGCTTCCTTCAAAAGCTACTTTCACCAGTTTAGGTCTCTCACTGTTATGTTGTACTCTGATATTAGACATCAATCTCTTGTTTAGAAATAATGCACAAGGTTTTCCTCAATTTACTCATTCCAAACAGCTGAGCATGTGGGTAAATAAATGGTATGGACAGATGCTTTAAAATGATCCTGAACGGGAAGATAAGTGAAGGTGGCAAAAGAGAAACTGCCCGTTCACTTTTGTTCCTGTTTAAGTTGATATCCCTTTTTACTATAATGGCTTTTGTTGTAGTATTGGAAATATGAGAGATTGGTAGATGTTTTTTCATTAATCATTATGCAACTGGGAATCTGTTGGGAGGTGTGATAATGACAGATAAACATGCACACGCACACCCACTAAACAGCAAAACTTTAGTTTGTAGAACACAACTTTATTCAATTTCTGAAAAATTGCACAAATGAAAGATTAAACTTGAAAAAACATTTATAGGCTCATAGGCTGTTTTTGCATGAATGTAGAAAACTATCACTGAAGCTTTATTACTTCTCTGGTCTTTTTTTGTTTTTAGTTGTGTTTCTGAGGGTGAGGTTTAGCAATCGTCTTGTGGCTTGTTCCTGAAGTGGAACTGAGTTTGACTTGGATCTCACTCATTTGTCTGGCTTTTGCTTCCAAAAGCTGCTGTTTTAACTCAGACAGCAATTTCTGATTCTCCTGGTTGAGCCGTTTAGCTTCCTTGCGCAGCCTTTTGTTTTCGCACATCATTTGGTAGTTTTCCATGTAGAGCTCCGAGTTCTCCTTCTCCATTTCCATTTTTGTCCGGACTTGCAAATACACCAAGAAATAGTTTGTTTCAGTGTGTGTGTGAGAAAGAGAGAGGGAGAGGGAGTCAGATGTGAATAGATATAAACCTGTTTTGCTTTCATGGCTATTCGTTTAATATTTTTTTTCAAGTTCGAATTACACGTTGAGCTCGTCTTTAGAAAGTTTATATCTTTATGTTAAACGAAGGAGAGAATATAATTCTTTTCATAAGAATCTTACAATTTAACAGCACATTTGTGCTACTTTTCGAATTCTTGACAGNATAAATTCGATGAGTTGAGCATGAATATAGGTGAGAACTTCATCAAGAATCTAATGAATGAACTTGAAAACTAAAACCAGCAGTGTCTAAATAATTTATTTTGAACTTGAAACTAACCTGATGAAACAAGGTTTAATTATTTGCCACTTGGAAGGACAACTTGTGAAAATGTGAAGTTATACCAATTTGAGGGAAGTATATATATATGGTACAAAGCATGCATATACTACTTCATCATCAGCACACGAGTTGAAGCACTTGTGCCTATTAAATAAAGCAACGCCAGATTTAACAAACTAGCCTAATTTCGATACTTTGTTCATGCTAAAAGAAAGGTACACATGCTTTAGCTGTTGTTACTTTTTTGTCCTAAAGTGAGAAAACTAGTTTCTCAGGCCATATAGCACGTGGACGTTGCTTTTTGAGGAATGCAAAAGTGTGAATTCAGACGGGGGGGACAGTTGGAATGTTAGTGTACATGGGAAGAGTAACAAGATTTATGGGCACAAAAGACAATTTAAGCCAACCACAAACATGTGTTTGAGCTCGGTTATGTACATGGGAAGAAGATTGATTGCCCACCAAAAACGTGTTTGGGGCAATGTAACAAGTGAGGTTACCAATTGCATGCTCTTTCATGCTTTTCTCTCCAGTGGGATGAATTTAATCCTACCTTCGTCATATCAATATACACTCACGTGCATGTGTGTGATCCGATGGTAAAAATTCCTAGTAACCCCACTCTCTAATGAAAGCCCAAGTATTCAAGTATATTAGGTGATATGAATTATAATATCTCTAGTGCTATATTTTAACGAGCTACATTTTCTCAATTTATATGTCACCACACATAATACGCATTATAGTTGTTGGACTATTATGCACGTGCTGATATGATTTCACATCTTTTGAAATATATGTAGTAGAGCACATATATTGATCGAAAATCCTTCCATCTTCTAAAGATTATTGTGTATGCCTATTCTTCTAATAAAACTCGTATACTTTTGTTCACCACAGATTTAAATAAAGAGAAGTTTTGAATAAGCCCATTATATTCCGGATGTCAGTTACAACCTAACATGGTGGTTTGAACGTTTTGAAACAACACAATTTCCATAAGAGTCATATTGGCTGAATTGTGTTAGAATAGTGGCTGAATTGTATTAGAATGTCAAACACGTTACAAATAAAGGTTAAATTATATGGCTGGAAACTGTTACTGAAAAGTAGTATGGAAATACCACTTGCTCGAAAGAGAACTAGAGCAGTGTTCACAGATTACAACTATCGTTGCCTTTACATTCTGAAAGACAGCATTGCAAGATGTTTGTGCAAACTTTTAGCATGATAGCGAAAATATGAATCAGGCAACAATTATCATCCAGAAAAAGAGTTGAATAGTTTGACATAATTAACTTTGATTAAATACAACAGATCAAACACAAACTTTCAAAGGACAGTGAATAAACAGAGCTGTAATCAGGTCAAGTTAGCCAGTCACCAATTGCCCTTAAGGCCGGCACACAGAGATATCCTCCATTCTGCATATTCTTGCCTGATCCAATGGAGCTGCAACAAATAATAATAATAATAATAATAATAATAATAATAATAATAATAATAATGTGTGTGTGTGTGTGTTATCTATATATAACAGCATGAGCTCATACTCAACAAACAATCTAACTCCTCCCTGAAAACATAGGCGTAATGTATACAGCTAAGAGAACGGTCATTATTGTTGGGAGGAAAAACACAAAAACTAAATTCATTTGTTTGTTATGTAAATTGACTCTATTCTCTTGGTTGTCACACTCTTTAAGGCAATACAATTTTCTTTTTGGGGCATCAAACACAGAAATCTAGCTCATATTTCCGGGGTGGAGGGAGCATATATATAAAAATATAAAGGAATAAACAAAGTTGATAAGATGTGGAAGATACCTATGCTTGAAACTGGAAAATGAGTTTAAAGCTCCAAGATTTTCCTCTTCCTGTAATAATTTTCATCATCATCATCATCTTCGTACCAGTAACAAAGCAGAAAGCCCTAGGGAACACAACATAGTCACTTTTCTGCACTGCCACTGTCCATAAGGCTCCGTCCAGAAACAGAGCTGTATTCCAACTGAGGATAGCTGGGTGGGCCACATAATAGAAGATTAAGCACCACCCATCCAGCATGTCCCCAGTTTTGTTATGCCTGCACCCTACACAATGGGGACCAAAATGCTTCCCTAGCAGCCACCATCAGACCAAGCCCCATGCTAGGGTGCAGGCACTGCCCCAGCCCCTTATCGGGGCCGGGCTACTCCAAAACTTGAATCGGCTTGCTGCTGTTGAGACTGGAAAAACAAAGAGCTAATAAGAAACTGTTGCATGAGACTAAACTCTAAGACGTTATTAACCACTAAAAATGGGCAATAAATTTTCAGTGTAACCCAAAAAAAGATTCTTGTGAATTTAAGGGTGTGATTGGATATGGATTTGACTAGGTTTTTTTGTTAACCATAGTTAATTTTGAAAAATGTGGTATTGTTAGTTGTTAGTGAGAATTTAAGTTTAAACTAAAAATAATATTCGAAATAAAATAATTAAAGTTGATTTGATGTAAAGTATGAGAAAAATGATTGGAAGTGATGGTTATTTAAAATTATGTGAGTGGATGAATAGTGAATTAAAGTTGATGTGATGTGTAGGAATGATTGGTTGATATTATTTAATTATATTGATAATATTGAGGATAATGGAGTACATTAAAATTTGAGTTTTAATTGGTTTTTTACTAGTCTAGTCTATATCCAATCACACACTTAGTAACTCTTCAGGTCAAACATTAAAAGCATTATCATCATGTTAACAAGTTTTCAAATGCAGTAACTTTTTAACTGGAAATAGTAGAATAGAATGGAAAAGGAGGTGACCAAATGACTGGTGTGAGCAGCAGTAACACAAGGAAAATAAAAAGTTTTACATGCAACATGTGTCATGAATCGTATTATGAGCAAAAATGACAAAAACTGGATAAAGGACTAGCTCTGGTAATGCTATTGGTACTAATTTAACCGAGCGCCTTGGACATATTATTGAGCGAGAGGTAAATCTTTATTTGGTCATTGTATGGGGGTATCGTACCCCAGACACCGGAACTGACGAACTGAATCACTAGAAAGTTATATTCTTTCATTTCAAGCAAGTGGGTTCGTTGGGTCAAGTTCGCATGAAGTGATCCTTTTTCGATTACCCGAATTTGACTTCACTTCGCTTCTAAAGATGCAATTGACCAATGCAATTGAAAAGAACATACACAAACACATAATCTGCACTGTAAATATTCTTGTGATTATGATGATTATTAAATGACGGGGGGAATATAGTAATTCTTTAATCATCATTTTCAATTCATCATCATATTGAAATATAAGACGCATATTGCATACCAATACCTGTGAAAAAGGCGGGTGAATTGGTTCAAGAGGCTGTACATAAGGTAATCCAGTTGTTTGACAAGGATACTGAGCAGAGTGCAAGAAGATACTAGAGTTTGAGTGTGGACCAACATGACCAGTACTAAATGGAGACAGCATGCCTTCGGTGGGACCATACCCAATACCAGCAGGAGGTGAGGGAGCAATCCATGGGCCAGGCAGATGTTGGGGAAGAGGCCGAGGTTGATGTTCAGTGGAAATAGGCAGCCTATGACTTGCTCCAAGCTGTGGAAATTCAGTGTTGTAGTTTAAAGCAGGAGCATACATGGGCTGGATAGGGTATGGGCATCCACTAAACCCGAAGCCAGGATCGAACCTCTGCATGTATCTGCGAAAAATATTTAAGAAAATATTGTTTCAGTTGTTAATACACAATTACCTAGGAAAAACCACTTTGCAACCTATTCCTTGTCAGTTATGACCCAATACAAGCTAATGGAAATGGAAAAAGCGGGCCACAATCCTTACAACCAATCAATTTGACACCATATCCATGCTCAAACAAAAATGAAATTGCAAGCAGAGAAACAATATATTGAAACAGAACAAAAGTTATATACCTGTCATAGCTTCTGTCGTAGTCAGGATCTTTACGATCAACTTCACGATCCCGAAAGATAGCCACTCTATTATTCGTCTTTGGCCTTGCAACAGGCTCCTTCTCTATCCTACTTCTAAGTAACCTACTGCTGGATGTAGAAGAATCAGACAAACTTCTGCCTATGGTGATATTAGATCCACTGCCTGGACTTGGAGATATTCTCTCTTCTGCCTTTGCCGTTCGTACTGAACCATGCTGAATACTATCCTGAATCCTGGGATCACTCACAGATTTCCCATTGGAACTTCCACTAGAACTATTAGTGGAGCTAAAAATCCTTGCTCGAGCCTTATTGTATTCCTCCTTCCTTTCCTCCACACTTTTGGAACTATTTGATCTTGCAGGATTCGCATTTGAATTACTATTACTATGAAATCCCTTATGTGGCCTCTGCTTGATTGCAACCTTTATAGCACTACTCTCTTCAGTTGGTAAATTTACAGGAATGTCGGCAAGACGAACCAAAGGAATCCTGATGTTTGACGTCTTCCGAACAATTATACGGGAACCCGACCCGTCGGGCAGGTTATTATCCAATAAAACCATGGACTGCAAGGAGTAATGCTGTGCCACACGATGTGCAGCCAAGCGCAAGTAAGAAGTAGGCAGCTGTTGGAACTCCATCTGTTCCCTAGTAGGATCCCGTATGAACTTCTCCACATCCTGCTCCATTCGCAACACTGAACATGCATGCAACATCATAATTTTGTACAGGATGAAAGACCAATTGACAAAAA